CTTCATATTTGATTAGGTTGCTAGTTTCTACTGTTAAATGTTACACGGTCTTAAGAATAAAATATTAAGGGACAAATTCACTACAGCTGTGCTATCTAGTGAGACAGCAGTGAGCCAGATCTTCTCCATGCTGCACAGTGATAGTGGCCAGACTTTATGGCCCAGTGTCCCAGTGAAGCCATGAATCTCCATCCTGGGAGATACCCAAAACTTGGCAAGATTAATTGGCTGGATTTGAAGCTCTCTCTCCTTTGAGGGCAGTTTTGCAGCAGATAACCCCCACAGATCCCTTCCAACTTACACTCCTCTATGGTTACAGCATCCCATTGAAAAACAAACAAACACAAAGGATGGAAAATAATTTGCATTCCCCTCTCACCTACGAAGACCCAAAGCTAGCTGAGATTGACTGCAAATCTTCCCATCTTGACTTGAGCAAGGTTTAAGCATATAGTACCCACCGTATCTCTGTGAAGCTGGTGAGAACTGGAGCTTCTGCACCTGTCTGAAGGCTGGAGCTGGCTGAGTTGCACAGCCAGCCTCAGAACCGTGGTTAATGCAACCTCTTGCAGGGGGAGACATCCCCTAAGCTTGTGCAGAGATATCTGTGAACTCCCTCTTAGTGCACATGCATGTTGCTCTCCTAGGGCCAGCCAACAACATCTGCGTTTCCTTCTGCTGTTCTGCCCATTCTTCTGCCTTTCAGTGGGCAAGGAAGGTTTTCAGCACCCTCATTCTTCTCTTGAGCTCCTAAGAGCAGTAGGGCACCTGATTTCAGGAGGTGTCTGTTGTGGGAGATGACCCTGGGCACATGCTGTGCACCTGCATCAAGACCAGCCAGCACATGCCACAGCCTCACTGAGTTAGAGCAGGTAACATGTACAACGTTTGATATAACAGGGAGAGATATCAGCCACCCCCACCTCTTTCAGGTATGAATTTAGTGGGCTGACTGATTTCTGGGGTACCCCATTTCTCTGCTGGGTACAGAAAGGACCTGACAAAGAGCTCAGTCCAAACACCTAAAGTTTAGATAAGTTTTGTGAGTTGGGCTAAGTCCAGTACCTTGTGTACAGAGGTACATACAGCCTCCCTGGTCCCCTGTACAGGCAGTTTTCTTAAGCCATGGTATTTTTAAACACACCATGAAATTTTCTCTTTGTGTATTTTTTTTTTTTTTGGTGATTTTTAAATACAGGTTTTTAGTCCTGCGCATCACTTTGGAAACTTAGTGGAGCCTTTACCTTAAAACCGAACTGACAGGTAAAACTGAGTTGTTAATCCCCAGTGGAAACAGGGCAGAGAGGACAAAGCAGACTTACTCACCACCACCACCAAGCTCTGCAGTTGCTCCTGGGGCTCAACCCATGGTGAGGGTGACTATGTCTCTGTCCTACCATCTCTGGATGGAGTTCTTCTCTTCAGGTTTGCTGCTGTGTCGTAGCACTAGCGTTTCTGTGAATCACTCTTCCCTCTTAAACCTTTCAAAATGAGACCTCTACCCCTAGTGCAGCCTTTTTGAGCTATAGCAGCAGTACTATCGTAACAGCCTGGGTTTGGGCCAGCAGGGATGGGGTGGTGCTGTCCAACATGAAGGAACAGATTGCCACCCCTGCTCTACAGTGCATCACATGTGTGTGTATCCCAGGGTAGCTGCTCTGTTGTACTTTTTGAGTGGGGCTGGCCACTAAGCACTGCTGTCAAGAAGTATATCTGATGGGCCTTGGAATATGTGGTGAAACTCACGAGGCATTCGTGCAGCATTCATTCATCTAGTTTAGTTTCACTGTGGCTGTACCATTTGTCTGCCCACACATTGTGATGATAGCTGCAGGGCTTGAGACTTTCTCCCCCATTTCTCCTCTTTTCCCTCCCATCCTTATTCCTTTTCTCTCGTTTTCCTTTCCCTTTCTGACCCCCCTACCTCCTCCCCCAATCTCTTTTTGCAAGGCTGATGGATATGCAGAGTATGTTAAGAAGCAAGCAATACTGTCACTGAACTGATGGTGTTCAGTGACTCTTCGAGCTCCTGGCTGGTCTGTACTGCAGGAGCTTGACACCCTGACCACTGAGGCATAAAAAACAGAGAATTGGAAGCCTCAGCCTGACAGGCACCAGAGCATCCCCCAGAGAGGGTCCAAGATATGTGTGTGTGTGTTTGTGTGAAGGGAAGAGGGTAGTGGAGATTTTGGGGGGAGGAGAGCAAAGCAAGAGAGGATGAGACAATGAAATGTCAGCCCATAGCCAAGCTGCAGCGCTGCTGAATGTTTAGAAAGCACAGCTGCCTACTTAGCAGTGTGCAGAGTGTAAGTGTGTGAGGGAGCACGATGTTCCAGGTGAAAATGCCCAGGACTCACAGAGGGATGTGTTGTCCCGTCTCCTGATGGGCTCGGGTCATGCAAGGGCACAATGGCTTGGTATGACATTTGTTCAGCCTGCACACAAAGCAGCTGGGCAGACTCTTCTCCACACCCAGGACTGCTTCTTGCACAAAGGGTCTGCAGCTGGGAGCAGAGGCTGTCCTGTCCATTGTGCTCCTCTGTCCGTACACTGTGCAGCTCCCAGGAAGGACGGTGCAGAGACACGTGTGCAAGCTGTGTCAACCAGGCAGCAGCGGCACGGTGGGCCATGCACACCTGCCCTGGTCTTGTGCTATGTCCAGCCTGAAAAACGTTGGGAAGCTTCAGTGAATATTTTATTATTTTAATAGTCATGCTCCTGTGCAACTGAACCTCTGAACTGAACCTCTGCCAAACCTCTGAAAATTTAAAAAAAATGAAACCCCTGGGGAAGCCAGTGTGTCCACAGGAAAAAGTATTCACAGGATGAAGGGGTCTTTGTGCGGCACACACTTGGATGGAGAAATTGGGCTTGAGCCTTCAAGGGCTGGAAAAGATGATATTACTCAGCCGTTAAGATAACAACCAGTTTGCCACCCATAGGCTTTGTAGGCTTCAGCAAACACCACTAGGACAGAGCCGAGTCAGAGACCTGGTGGAATGCAAGAAAAACAGAGAAAACATCTGACTGAGAAGACAGTCTCAGGTGCAGCAGAGAGTCACAAGAAGTGACCAGAGTGGTGGTTTTTTTTTTTTTCTTTCTTTCTTTTTTATTTTTTTGGGACCTCAGACGGTTCCTGCTTCTGTCTGTGCTGCTTTCTCTGTGCCTTGTTTTTTAGCCAACAAGGGTGAGTACTGAATGGAGGTAGTGGTCGGGTACTAAAGTTGTCTATGATCCAGAAGGACAAGGACTAGGGAGGATATGTAAATAAATGTAAATGTGTTGCACCACATAGAAGGATTTGGAAACATTTCTATTTTCCATGGCTGCTAGAATGAATACTGTTTCTTAGAAGTAGTAATGAAAAGCTGTTCTGAACTTCTGTAGAAATGTAGTCAAAACACAATTGGCACTTAACTGAATGGGCATTTAATGGTCCCACCTGCAGCTGTACAAATCTTTATTTTCTGCTTGTGCTCCTGCAAACGTGCCTTGGCCAACCAGTGTGTAACAGCTGGAGGAGGCACACGTAAAGAAAAGAAAAATGCTGGGCCAGAGCCATGGTCTGTCTGTCCTGTCTTCCTGGCCTGCAAAGCCAGTGCCTGCTGCTCCAAGCAAGGTGCAGGTCTACCCATGGAGATGTCAGATGACCTGTCTGTAGTTGGTACTCTACACATCTGTAAATAGAGGTAGGGAGAAACAATGATGCATAAGGCTCATAAATAAAATAAAATAAAATAAAATAAAATAAAATAAAATAAAATAAAATAAAATAAAATAAAATAAAATAAAATAAAATAAAATAAAATAAAATAAAATAAAATAAAATAAAATAAAATAAAATAAATCAGAACTGGTTTGTTCTGGGCTTGACTGCTTCAGTGCAGGGTGAAGCTGTGATCCCTGTGCAGGTTTGCCACTTGTGCCAGCAGGTTGGTGGGATGTTGCTGCCAGGTGTTGGTGGTGTGGCTCTGCTGCTTGGCTGGTTAAAAGCAGTCCCCGAGTGCGATGTGGAAGCTGTGCCATAGCCAAGGACCAGAACAGCTGAAGGCTACAGACAGCATCTTCCTTCTTCAGCCTGGCAGCCTTCTCCACTACTTAGCAAAGGAAAATTTCTCCTGCTGTGCTGTTTTGTATGCATTTGTGTACTTGAGAGGGAGCAAGAAAGAAGGAAGAAAGATAGAAAGAGAGCAGGATAAACTGTCATTTGTGTAAGATGCCCTAACAAAACAATGGCAGTATTTGTATTTTTGTGGGGCTGGAGCTGGGTGCCCTGCCCAGGGTCAGAGCTACATGATGAGCACTGCCCTGATGAGCTTGCAGCTGAGGTATGAAACAGGAGAATACGTGCAGGGAACAAACAGATGGGGAAAGCAGGAGCTCACAAGAAGATAAATAACAGTAACTCTTTGAGTATTTACTTTGCATTGGTCCAGAAGGTTTCAAAGCCACCCAAAACTGATGCCAGCATCCCTCTCCTTTGGTTAAAATGATCGATGGAAGCCTGGGACTAAAACCATGTTCTCCTGGAGAGCCTGGAATGATATTCAATACCTAGAAGATTAGCTGATTTGTCTTCTCCTCCCAGTAGAGAGCCTAGTTGACCAGCTCTGTCCCAGGATTGCATTTCTTGTCCTGCTGTAGGACCACAGTGGCAATGGCCAGCCCCTTAGGTGTGTCCCAGACCCTTCTCCATTCCTCCAAGCTGTCTTGCTCCTGCAGCACAGACGGTGTGAGAAAATCCCACCACCTCATCAGGCATGATCTACAGTGCAAGAAGAACACGTAAAAGATGACTGTTCCCATTCATTTAATAATTTGGCCATCCAGATTGCCCTTCTTCAAAGAGAGTGATCAGCAGTGCTTTTATGAGAGTCTTCACTAGAGTATAGCACATACTGATTAGTTCCTTTCCCACATGAACAACTGAAGTCTTAAATCAAATGATCTTTTCTTTTGTCTTTTTTTTTTTTTTTTTCTTCTGTTTTCCTTTTATTTAGGGAGTGAGTTTTCTGGGAGCCCATACAGCCATCCACAATATTCAACGTACAATGATTCCTGGAGGTTTCCCAATCCTGGACTCCTTGGTAAGTTACTGCCCCTCCCTTCAGGCTGCGTTGCTAGCTGTGGCTCATTCATAAGCTGGAGGCAATTATCCACCACCTGGGGGGGCAGAATGCATGTCCTGGTGCAGTCCTACATCCCAGTGCTCTTCCCTGGTGAGTGGCTGCAGATCTTTGTTGGGGCATGATAATGCTCTTAGTTCCTCTTGTCAGCAGGAAGCCCCATGCCAAAACCTCTTGTCTTCCCGTTTCTGCTCCATAAGATCATTTGACAAACAGAAGGCATTGTTGGAAGACTGGATGCCCATTTCTGGAGGGCAAGGAATCCTATTTGTACAAAACTAGTGGTGTTTTACTGGGACACCTGCTTCAAGAAGTTGCTGTGTCTGTTACAGTCAGATGTGAGCCCCAGCACTCTCTGCGCTGTTATTTTCTTGCTGGCTCCAGCCCTTTCCCTTTCTCCCGGCCCTCATGTTGTGCATGCTCTTCAATTGTTCTTTCACCAAATGCAGCTTTTCTTCTGCAAGGGACTGTTGTGCCAGTGCAATCTCACTGATGTCTGCATGGGCTTTCATAAATGGTGGGGGGTAGGAGCCCTGTGGCTCATGCAGGATCATGGCCCTCATGTGAAGCATAAACATAATCCATTTTACACCACTGTCAAAAGCTGGCCCACTTTGACCTTGTACACATGTAGCATGCAGTAATTAGAATTTTTCCCTGCATAATTTGCATGGATGAGGTAAGTAAAATACCAATTAATTGTCATCTCTCAACACAGGAATAGCATGCCTTAGAGATTTCCAGATTTATGGATGACAGGGCTGTTATATGTGACCTCCAGCAGAGAAATAATTTTGAATTTTTGTCTTTTTTTTTTTTTTTTTCATCCAGTTTCTTTGTTTTAAGTAATTGAGTCCCCATGTAATTGAGCCACCCAGGCTGTATTCATCATAGTTCTTGTCCTTAAACAAATCCTTCGGGAGCAATAGACAGCCTCTGCCTCTCATGCCATGGTGCTGGTATACTACTGCTATTTGCTGTGCCACATTTAAGGGTTTGTTAGTGCTTCCATCATAAATCAGAGAACAGATCTTCAGCTAATATAGATGGGCATAGCTGTACAAAGCCAGGGGAGACCCTATGCTTAAACCCGTAGTTACCATGGCCACAGCCAGGAGTGCCTGCAAGACTTTGGTTTGGCTGCATGAAGGAAGCCGCTTTAGCCAGTAGAAGAGTGCATGCAGTTATTTCCTAGTTCCTGGTTTTGCAACTCCTTTGGAAGCAGATGAGATGCTTTAACCTACTGCTGAAGGGAGGCCTTGGAAGCCAGGTCTTGCATGTGCGTGGCTTTTTTATTTATTTATTTATTTATTTATTTATTAATTTTCCTGCAAACCTGTGAATAAACCAGCAGGATTTTCAGAATAAGTGAAAACCCAACTCAAAGTCCTCCTTTCTACATAACAAGAGTGGCTTTTGGCAAGGCTCCTGGGTCGCAGACTTGTGCCTGCAAATTGCCTGCAAGTGCAGGAGAGGATTTGCTTCTTTTTCCTTGTTTTCTTTTTGGATGATAAACTTCTGGGGGCAAATTCTTTCTCTTCTTTGAATATGTGGGGAGACCACAGCTGAAATGTGTGCGTGCTCCTCACCTTAAAGTGAATGGACTGTAAGGCTCACATCTCAAACCAGTGAGCGTTTATACAGCAGTATTTATTCAGTAGCATGCTGTGAACATGTGTTTAAAGGGGGCAAGGGCAAAAAGATTTGAATGCTACCATTTTCCTTCGGAAACTACAGATTTATTGAACCTGAAATGTTGCACAGTGTAAATACAATAATAATTTTTTGTTATCAAGAGTTGTTAAATCTATACTTTTAGATTCCTTGTTTTTATCCTATATGAAGCATTTCATTTTGATATTTTCAAAATTGTGTGTTTCAGTAAGTACACTATCAATCACTGCTATATCATGTTATGAATGCACTGTGGCACACTGAATGGGAATGATGAGACTGAAAGCTTTTGATACATTGGAAAGAAAAAGAAATGGGAATATTTGTTCTGCAGCAAGTCTTCAGGAAGAACTTACTGCTCCTTTAGCATGATCACAAAACCAGAAGTGCTGGAGTTTCCTTTGCAGGAGGAATTCCCTTGTCTGGCCAGTGATGGTTTAAAATATCTGCTCCACTTTGCTTCTGTCATCAGTGTAGGTATTGCTGAGCTGGTTAAGATCTAACATAATTTGTAGCTCTCTGTGGTGCTCAGGTAGTATCTGTCTATGGTCACAGTGTAAGAACTAAGAACTGTAGCAGTGAGGTCTTGACTGAGCTGAACCTTTGAGATTCCTTTTTTTTTTTTTTTTTTTTTTTTTTTTTTTTTTGTGTCAGAAGAGCACCAAAAGCAAAATGGTGTTAAGTTTGAAAATGCATTTACTGGGAGTCTACTGGACCTAACTGGAGCATGGAGCTCTTGCCTGTGCCAACATTGTGCTGGATGGCAAGGCCGGTGAGCAGGTGCTCCAAGAGACACTGCAACATCCAGATGCAGCCATACAACCTAAGAATGTCCATGGTTGGCCATTGTCTGTAGGTCTCCTGTATCATCCAGAGAGCCCAGTTATCCATACTGTTCTGTTATCCTTGGGAGCCTAATCTGGCTCTCCATTCATGTGCCAACATGCCCACTAAACTCAGTGGTAATTTAGGGCAAGTAAGAATCTGTTGCAGAGCCTTAAATGCCTGCTCCAAGTCTCCTTGAACATTCAGAAGGCTCTGTGTTACAAGTCTGAGCACCTGCAGTAGAGAGGAGGTTAATTTAAGCTATATCCAGGATGCTTCCACTCTTCTCAGTATACGTGAGTACATTTACTAATTCTCTCCTGAGAGCAAGCTCTGGCAGTATCAGCCTCAAAGCAGAAACCTTGACAAAATTAATCAGGACTGGTACATGGACTGACACAGTTTGTTTTACTAAGTCCCTCTCCCTTCACCAAGATGAAATTGTAATACTCTAAGCACTTAACAGCACCTATGTTCAATTAATTCCCTGTTCTGGCAAGGAAGAATTGCACTGCAGCAATCACACCAGGCTCAAATCTGTGAAAGATGAATTTAAAAGAGAGATGCAGTGATTTGCAAGTGCCAGCAAGAAAGGATACTGGGGTTGAAAAATGGTTTGGGAGGAGGAATAAGGAGAATAGGAATAAAGAATGTTAAGAATAGCATAAAGACTTGGGTCATTAGTCCCTGGTCTTGTGTGAATGTGGAGCAGCAGTGAGAGGAGTGAGACAGTTTCTCCACTGTGAGGTAGGACCGTGCTCTGGGGAGGCTTGCATGAGGTATAGAGCAGCTGTATGGCCCACCAGAGAACCAGCTGCTTGCTGTTGGTTCCATGCCTGCTCTGTGCTTGCTGCAAAAGGAGCACCAGGCAGCCCACCCACATCTGCTCTGGCTAGCACATGAACTGATACAAGAAGGTGACCATGCACCTTTCTTTCTGGGGCAATCTGAAACACCGTGGTCTTTAGCTCTTGTGGAGGGGGAGAGAACCAACCTACAGTCCCCCAGAGTGGTCAAGAGAAGCAGGGGCAAAAGAAGAAATCCCTTCACCGCTGCAGCTCTGTGGCCTCTTCCCACACTTCTGTCCTGCCATCAACCCCAGTAGTACCAATGCCTAGCTCTGCAGCATGGACACAGCAAGCGTTTGCTGCATGTCTTGACACGATTCGTCCATCCCTGACTGCAGCAGGAGTGATGGCAATCCTTGGGTTTCTATCATGATATATATGCAGGGAGGATGGATAATGCAAGAGCTGGCTGCTGGTGTTGCATCCATCTCAGTGGCTGTAGCCAGGTGTCCTCATGGAAGCAATACGAAGAGGTGGAGAAAAAGGTGTCTTGTTTTTTTTTTTTTTTTTCTCCACCGTGCTGTTAATGACCTGAAGCTGCTATAATACAGGGATGTGCACAAAGGCATGCACACAAACATGCCGGGAAGCAAGCATGCGTGCACTGAGGGCTCAGTCTGTCACTGTCTGCAAGGCCTGGCAGGCATGCCGGTGTAGAGTCTGCTCAACAAGCACACGCTAAAAGTGGATAACAGGAAGGCAGTCTAATGAAGAAAAACGATTCAATTTCATGCTGGCTTGTTGCAATAACTTCTTTACCATTCTCTCTCATTGCTTTCGACTTGATGCTGCTCACGGCGGGTTTTGCTTGATGTGCTTCTCCTTCTCCCGCACGGATGTGGTTCATGCGCCTTGTCTGGGAGGGCTTCCTCTCGGGGTTGCCTACAAAGTCATGGTGCTGGCACGGCATCCTGTGAGGGGAGGGCTTAAAGCTGGTCGATTAGGATTATGTTCGGTTCTTCTGTGGGTTCCTGTGAAAGGATTAGAGAACAAGTAGGCACCAGAAATGACTGTGTCAAGAAATAAATTGATGATAATATGAATTAGAAAGGAAAAATGACAAAAGGATGGACAAGTCTATTCTGGATGGTAGTATGGTGACAGGGAGAAAGAGTGATTGCTTTGTGATGTTTTCATTTTTCACTTTAAATACAAGCTTTTTATTTCACTGCTGAAATGTAAACTGGAGAAATGAAGCTCAGAAGTGTAAGGCCTCTGGAAAGCATCAAAGACATATTGCTGCCATCCTTTGCTCCAGTCCTCCTTGTGCCCTTGCTGTGTGAACACAGCAGTTTCACCTGGGTCTCCAAGAGCCTAGCAGGTTTTTTTTTGCGCTGAGATGCTGTAGCAGCAGAGACAACTCAGATGGAATTGCTGGGGAACAGAAATACGCCGAAGCTGTCTTTGCTTTAGGACAGAGTGGACATCTCAGTCGCCCGATCTCTTTTGTGCCACTTTTGCTGTATTGCTGGACAGGGTAAAGGTGTCCTTTCTCCTGTTGTCATTTTGAACATCCCTCCCCCCAAATCGGTTAGACAGCAGGCAAGTTTCAAAGTTTGGTGAATGGCTGAGTTTGCAGCATTGAGCTGCAAAGGGCGACAAAGACGCTGAAGGGCCTAGAGGGAAGGGTGTACGAGGAGTGGCTGAGGGCACTGGGCCTGTTCAGCCTGGAAAAGAGGAGGCTGAGGGAGGCCTTCATCGCGACCTGCAGCCTCCTTTTGAAGGGGAGTGGAGAGGAAGGCACCGCTCTGTGTGAGCAGTGATAGGACCCAAGGGAACGGTGTCAAGCTGCGACAGAGGACATTCAGGCTGGACATCAGGAAGAGGCTCTTCACCAAGAGGCTTCTTCACTGGAACAGGCTCCCCAGAGAAGTGATCACTACACCAAGCCTGTTGGAGTTTAAGGAGCGTTTGGACCGTGCTCTTAGTCATACGGTCTAAGTTTTTGGGTAGACCTGTGTGGTGCCAGGAGTTGGACTTGATGATCCTTATGGGTCCCTTCCAACTCGGGATGTTCTATGATTCAGTGATCCTATGAGCTTAGTTTGCTCTATCAAAACGGCCTCTCTTCGTTACTGCTTAAAATACTTAAATTTAGTTAACAAATCTAGATGTGATGAGTGCCTACCTGCAAGTTCTGCAAATATCTTTGCAAATGTTTACCTTGGCTAGTTACTTCACCGGCCAAGTTCAGAGTATTGAATTCCTCTGATGCATGGTTAACATGTGACTACCCTTCTGGACAACTGAAGCCACAGCCCTGAAACTTGGTTTACCTTCTTTAAACTCATCCCTTTGCAGCAGGTTTGCATGATATGTTGGATGGTTGAAGCACTGAGGACAATGCTCCTCACAGATGTGGCAGGCCCCTGCGTACAAACTCTGCTGCTGCAGCACTGACTGTTGCAGAAGCCATGCTCCCATGCCCAAATCCTGTAGTTTCTGATCCATCAGGGTTGCAGGAGAAAAGTATCATGTGCTTTGGTAGGACTCTGATCATGAGAAAGAAGTTTCTTTTTCATGGCTGTGCTGAGGATGTACGATGCAATGGTACATATTAGCTGAGCTCTGTTTTTTTGATGTATTGGCTTGTACCAGCTTGGAAATTGGCAGCATCAGGCTGGTGATAAAGCCTGAGCTAACTTCCTGACAATGTGCTCAGGAGGAAAGCAGAAGAAACAGGTGAGCTTGCATGTTAGTGGAATCCTGTTGGATCCAGCAATAGCAGTGTTTTGGGAAGTGTTTAAGCTGGTAGGGCTGTCTTACTCTTTCTGGGAAGCAGCACTTATTTTGCTGGCCTTTCTCATTCCATACCAGAGCTGCAAAGAGGAAAGAGCTGAGTTTTGGAGCCTGAGCACCTCAGACAGGTCATGTTGGGCAGAAAGTGAAGAAAGCCCTGTGTGTTGCAATTATAGCACCATCCTGAGCTGATAGTTAACACTAAAAGTCCATGGGCTTCCTCTTAGAAGTGGTGATGTGATTCTAGCTCTGTTCTTAGGCTTTTGAACCAGCAGTCCTTGAGTCATGCCTTTTTGAGGTAAACAGCAAAGCCAAAAGCACGCCTGACTTCAGCCGGAGGCTATGAAAGAGGATGGGGTAGGGTGCTCTTTGAACCTGATACTACAGCCCAGCCTGCTCCAGAGCAGATCCCTGTGTTGGCTTTTTATTGCTTGTCCAAACCCTTCTGGGGGGTTTTGGACACAAGAGTCCAGGTGTGAATCCTTCCACGGGGTTTCTTCCACACTGTTGCCTACCTTACATTTCCTGAATGTGAAACTCTGCTGGTGACTTGGAGATGAACTGACAGCACTAGGAAATATTTTTTGCTTTACTCTTCTTACACCACATCAGAGCTGGTTTCCTCTCCAGTGTACATGGAACTGATTTAATACTTTGTATTGTCTAGACAAATTTGTGTATGTCTAGATACAAGTGAAGTCTAACACTCTTCCTTATTTCAGCAGTCAATCCAGATTCAGTGATCACCCAGCCTACTGCTTAGCACGGCAGGGCAGAAAAGTCATCATCAATATTTTTCAGGCCTTGTCATGCTAGATGAGTGTTTCAGCACTTATCAATCTGCATAGTTCACTCAGATGTGTAATACATGTACTGAATGAAAAAATAAAATGTATCTTTATTTGATCAGCTTGTGAGTGAAGTGCCTGTTTCAGAAGCTGTCATATAGAGCACTTGATACTTCTTCAGATAAGATGTTATTCACTGTAGGTAGTTGTAACAGAATTTCTGAGTTCAAACTCACTTTCACTGAATTCAATTTCACTACTAAGTGATATTTTCTGAGACAATTTCTCCCTTCAGCAAATTTGTTAGATGACAAAGGGCTTTCTCTGGCCAGACAGAGGCCAATGTAGTGTGGCCATCACAGAAGCAGATCCAGTAGCACAAATTTCACTGTTCTTTCTGTATCTTCAACATCATTGCTAGAGCTAAGCAAAAGCCAGGGGTTTATTCCTTGAAAGAAGTATCTTGAGAAACAGGGAAAATATTTTTGAGTCCAGTAGACTCACCAGAGAAGTCAGAGTCAAGTAATTCACTTTTTGCAATGTAAATGAAATTAATGTTTTGGGTGGAGTAAGGGAACCAGATATCTGGTTCTGCTAGCCAGCAGAAATGGAAAGCAGCTCCAGCAATATTCTCATGCAGAATTTGTGACTGTGAATTTTATTTTAATCACCTGGCCTTTACTCCTCTGAGTCTGAACTCAGGCTGGAGAGCTATCTGCTGTCTGTGCTGGCATGGTGCAAGCTGGCACCATTCCACGTTTGTCTTCTTCACAGTGGTCTCTTCTCTTCCAGGCTCTCCATACTACTACAGCGCTGCAGCCCGTGGAGCCGCCCCACCTGCAGCGGCTGCTGCCTATGACCGCCACTGACCCTGGAGCCCGGAGCCCAAACACTTACAAAAATATACTGCCTGGGACAACTGCATTGAGTCACCTTGCCACAACCATGCAAGTCACCCTGCAAGGGAAGGAGAAAGTATCTAGTAGGAACAAGCTAATTGAAATTTTACTCTTTAGACTTGGTGAACTTAATATTGTTGTTTTCTTAATTCTGGAGGTGTTATCTGGGTCTCAAACAAAATGAAGAAACAGGAGGACATGGTTCTCCTGACACTTTATGTGGTCATAAAAATGCAGTAGTTTCATGTCTTTTGCAGCCGGCTGGCTACTGCTTTAATTGCCTGTGGGTGCCACGGCTGTATCTGGGGATAAGGAAGAGGCTTGAGCCTCCCTGCTTGGGGTGGCTTCCTCTTACTGCACACTGAAACAGGCTGTGAGACTCAACGCAATTTTTATTTTATTTTATTTTATTTTTAATTTTTGTTGCAAAGAAAGATCAGTCTGCTCAATTTTACACAAGCAGCACTGTAAATATTTGCTTGTTTGTATTACTATGAGTGACTTAGCATAAGCAGCAACATTGTACAAATATGAACTCAAAATACATCTGAAAATGTGTTTTGAAACTGGTGCACTGATTCAAAGAATTCAGTAAGCTTTAAGCAACTTTGAACCAGGTTAACACTCATTGTGGCTGTATTTCAGGCTGATATTACTTCTGTGTACAGCATCCTTTCTGACAGTGGTGTATGATCATGCTATATGCTGGTATCAAACCCATGGGCAACAGAAAGACATGGGCAATTTTGTGACAGTTTATTGCTTAAAATTCATTTAAGTCATTTGTCATCATAACGAGCACTGAAACAAATTATCTGGTTTCAAGTTAAACAGCATCCAAGAAGGAATCATAGTTGACACCTTTTGTACATCTCAATAGGTTGTATGCTAAAATCCAATTATGAACACTTTGAGAGGAAGGGGTAAAATAATTTTTGTGAAATGTACATGCGTAACAGGGTATATTGTGCACAAGGGCAGCCACATGTGCTTCCTGAAGCAAACTGGTGAGGGGGGCACTCATTTTGGGGGGTCTGTACATTTAAGTGAAGGCATCTCTCAAGTCATTCTAATAACATGGAGGAGAGCAATTTCAAATTCAAGCCACTGCAGTCCAGACTGGTGTCATGGAGAATTTTGCCCTGTTAATTCTGTGTTTCTCCCCCTCCTGCTCAAAGTGGGAGCACTGATGGTGACATTTTGTTCAATGTTCACTGTTTCCTGGGGCTAATGAAGAAAGCAGCTTACAGCTGATCTGGTAAGCAACTACTCTGATCACTGCTGTTCCCAGGGAACTGAGAAAAATGCTGATTTCTTCCTGCACTGTCCCCCTGCACCAGTCCCAGGTGCAGCTACCTTTAGTCATGTATTGGTAGAACGTATGTGCCCAGCCCCTTCTAAAAGCAGTGGGAAAAACCCCTGGCCCTGCTGAGATGAAGATTTGACTGTAGCCTCTGGCAGTGTGAAGCTCCCACAGGCAGCCGTGCTTATTTACACGGATCCGCACAGGCACTGCGAGGGGATCTTGCTGGTGTGTGCCTGTGTGTTTCCCAAAGTTGAAAAGGGGTTGTTGGTGTTGAACCTGAAATACAGTCCCATATACAATCAAGTAAAAACATTTGCTTCTAGTTTTACAAGTATTTATTTGAAATGGCAACTACTGAGTTAATATTTCTCCCTTTCCTTACTTCCTCCCCCCTACGCTGCACCTCGTCTCTTCTGCTGCACGTCTGGTATCTTGACATTAATGGCCACAGATCCATTCAGAAAGAGTCTCTGTGTGCTCTCCCAGTTTTGGTGGCATGTTTTTTATGTGTTCTCATGCTACAAAAATGCAGCCACCACTTTCAAGTTTCCAGGTGAGATGTGTTCAGATCCTCAAAAGCCATGAATGGTCCCATTGGTCCCATTGGCTTAAATGTTTCCATCTAATCCAGAATTAAGTCCTGTGAGCATGTGAAAAACTTTCCCATGCAAAAAGACCTCCTTTTTATTTTTCAACAGTTAATAGTTGATACACACACACACACACACACACACATTTTCAAGAAAAATAAAAGCATGGGCAAATCATCTATATGGAAACCTTCTGAAGATTTGCTTTGTGTCACCCTTTCTAAGCCATCATGACATGCTGTGTGACTGTTTTGCACCCTGGTGGTAAAGCTGCAAAGGGGGTTTCTGCTCTTGGATAGTGCTTGTGTGGGAGTCCTCACACTTGTTCTCAACTGAGTTGTGCACATTGTGTGCAGGGGCACATACTGAATGCACCTGCCTTTTCTGTAATCTTGGGAAGTGAAAAGGCTATCTGACAATAGCTGAAGAGAAAAGAAGTGAACATTTGACAGCATGACATGAAGGTGTGGGTTATGGCTCCAGAACAGAGGTGGGGATGAGATATAAGAGCTACAGACACCACCTGGTCAGTGATTAAGCTAGTCTTAAAGCTACTGTTTATGTCTTTCACGTGAGGGAAGAGCAGCTCTTGTTGATTACACGTGGGTGGTTTCACCAGCTCTGAATACTACCTGAGAAACACCTTTTTTTTTTTTTCTTTTTTTTTTTTTTTTTCTCAATAGTGGCATGGCTTGTATGACTTAAACTCATTTTAACATTCAGAAGACTAAACATGAGACTTCAGCAGGTGTTACTATGCTCAGGACAGAGACTCTTTTAGTTAGGGTAGGGACTTACAAGAGGCACAGTAGGTATATTTCATCCTAAGGATATATGCATGCCCGTGGATGAAATGACCTAGATGCTTAGGCTCAGACCTGGTTTGCCTTAATGCTTTCATCAAGATCCCCTAAGGACTGGCCCTTGTCCGGAGTCATTCTGCAGTGCATGCTGGTGGGCTCTATCCAGCGAGCCAGCGTGGGGGTGAAGGGCACACACGGTGCAGGTTCACAGGCCATGTGCACGTCCCCTCCCTGCCTGTGTGCCCCTGGTTGCAGCTGCAGAGGTGAAACTACACCCACCCTTGCACACACACAGCTGAGATCTGTGTCTGGCCCACCTTCCCAAAACATTGCTGAGGCTGCCTGGCAAATGTGGCCCACCTCTGCCTGCGAGGATTGTTTCTCTGCAAGAAAGACAAATAGGATTTAGCCCAATAAGTATGCATACTGTACTTCTAGAAAAGACACTTCTTGTCAGTATTTTCTGTTTCCGGGGATATTATGCCTGATATTTACAAACTCCTTTCTTCAGGAGGTCTTGACTTTCTGTCCATAGTCTTCATCACTGGAAATCTTATTCCTTGGGGAATGTCTTTCACACTCATGACTAGCAGAAAGTGGTCTTCCGAGGATGACGGAAAGTTGCCTTCTGCAGCTCTTTTCCTTTGTGACCCTGGCAGGACTGGAGGAATGCTGCCTGTCTCACTGGTGCACTGCCTCCCCTCACTCACCCTACCAATCCCCCAGGGATGTTTGGGTTTCATTCAGCGCCACAGACTGCTGGACCTTCCTGTGATGTAGCACTGCTTCACGGGGCTCAGCTTGGGTCAACGGAGAGCAGATCAACAACGCTCAAACCCAAGGCAGAGGGGTGTGCACCTGTGCTGTTTGCAGCACAAATGACCCAGGCACTGCTGGGGATGTATGTCATCTCTAGCAGATGTATGCTCTGTAAAAAGACTGGCTGAAGAGACTGTTACAAAACTCTCAGTGCGTAGGCTCCTTTTTTAATGTGCTGGCTGCAGTGGAGGCTGCTGAGTGAAGTGGCACCTGTAAGCAAGTGAGCATTTGGTATTGCAAAAAGGGAAGAAAACACAGTGAATGCTGATATTAATCTGCTAAGGCTGTTTCAGGTTTTCCAGAACAGTTTTGAGGGTCATTGACACCCATCTAAAAGCACTGGGGCTATGGGCATGTTAGGCCCTGTTTATGTTTCACTCAGGCAGAATGCCCTGTAGCACCATGTATCAGTACCAGCCTCTTGCAGAGATCAGCCCCATAAAGTGTCTTTAGGCAGTTTCACCACTGAGTTGTTTAATGCAGCTAGATGGAGGTTTTTTTTCAGTAGTGTGTGCTCCAGCAATAAATTTATCAAGTACATTTCCCATACAGACAGGTCTACAAATAAAGTCTGAGAGATGGAGAGAGAGAAAATGCTGACGTAAAACTAAATCAACAGAGTCCATGAGCTAGTGTTACATGAACTGACTTGTTGAGGAAACTTTTAATCAAATGCTATAAGAGTGTGACCATAAGGAAAACACAAAATGTTGTGGGCATTGAATTAGCTTAGCATCGATGTACAAAGTTTCAGCTAGAGAGGCATTATTGTAAGATGGCTCCCACCGACTGCAGAGCTAAGCATGTCTCAGGACCAGATCCTTAGACTGAAGACTTTGATATCTATTAAATCAGAAGGCCAGAGAGTAAGTTTATTCAGAGATGCAGAGATGTCAAAGTAAAGCTTTGATTTGTGCTGGGACTGCAGGCTCAAGAAGCAGAGCCCAGGTGTTGTAAGCCTTTGTGAAGGAGATAGCAAAGGAAGAAGCAGCACCGGGAGAAGAAAAAGAAAAAAGAGAGGAAAGAGACTAACTGAAAAGTGTTTTTTGGAAGAAAAGTGAAGTTGAACAGAAAACTGATGGGGCATTTGTGATCCTTCCACTGTCCTTCTGCAGCTGAGCTCTCTCGCTGATGCAGGGTACAATGGCTGTGTGTCGTGGAGAGCAGAGAGAGGATGGGTTCACTCACTTCAGGGGGTACTGGCAACCACTAGCTGTGCACAAGTGTTCTGCCATACCCCTTCTTGACTGATGGGATTACATTCCTTTTTTTCATTTTCTTTAATTTCTCTCTTCTACAAGTCCTTGAGCATGAAGAAGAATGGAAGCCATGTTATAATGTTGCTTATTGGCAAGCACAAATATCAATAGCTCCAAAGCATTATGGCACATAGACCAGTGTGTGGCTGGCAGCTGGAGCAGCTGCACAGCTTCAGTTAAGTGTCCTCACTGGAATTGTAATCTTTCCTGCATGGTGCGTGCCCGTGTGTGTCACTAGGACACCTGAGGTCATGGTCCTTGGCAGGAGCACAGTGTTAAGCCAACCCCCTTGTGACTCTGTCCCAGCAAATGCTGGGAAAACCTGCTTTTCCTTCTGGATTCACTGAGAGCTCTAGGGGGCCAGCAGCTCCTGGGTGCTGTCTTGTGAAAAGCGGCAGCCCTGTGTGGGGCTGCCCACAGGCAGGCAGTGCCAGGCTGGGCTGCTTGCACCGACATGGGCCCTGAGCACACATCCCAAGTCACAGCCTAAGATCACTCTGCACTGAAGGCAGAGAGCAAAGTGGTAGCAAAAGGCTCAAGACTTTGGCCAGGGACCTGCTCTGCACTGCTGTGCCCCTCAGACAGAAACTCACTCTTATTTCAGACATGTTACAGCAGCATGAGAAATTGGAAACATTCAAAAGGATTAGAATCTGGTTAATATTGCTTTTCTGGTGGAGCTAATAAGACTTGGTGAGCAAATACTGAGTGGAAAGCACCGTATACAGGTGCTTGGTGCCAGCATTGCTCATTTCAGCATTGCAGGTGACTTAGTTGTCAGCTGTAGCTGTGATCTCTGCTTACTAGTCCTGAGAAAGGACAAACTTAATTAAAAAGCTTCAGAGTAAGAGCCAGACTGCTTTGCATGATGCAATCTCAGCACTGTAGTGTGTGTGCGTGCCTGTGTGTAGAGATTTATGTGCACACCTGTGTGCATTTGTAGGCACGCTTGAATCTCCCAGTCTGTGGGGAATTGTTATGGGACAGACCTGAAGCCTGCTGATAGCCTTTCCACTCAACTCGTGACCACGCTATTAAACTTGTGTGTCCAGAGTTTCCTACTCTGCCTTGTAAAATGAGATAGAAAATGACCAGTGGGCATTTAGATCTTTCTTTTGCTTCATTCAGCCTTGTATTGCAAAAAAACTGTCCTGGTTTTTCACTTTCTAGTGGCCTTTGTACATTCTGAAATTACAGAAACTCATTTCATTGCAAATGGGATTTATTTCCAAAAATAAAAAAAAAGAAAAGAAAAGAAAAGAAAAAAAAAGAACAGTTTTTTTTTTTTTTTTCTGTTTCTTTTTTCTTTTTCTTTTTGTTCTTTCTTTCTTTCTTTCTTTCTTTCTTTCTTTTTGCTTCTTGGAAACAAACTACTTTCTATTAGGAACTTCTAGCAACAAAGAAATACATATCTATTGTATCCACCAAAGTCTGCAATGCCTGCATTGAAGCTTACTTCTTATAAGAGAGGGGAAAAAAGAGGGAGAGAAAAAAAGCCTCCTTTCCTTGAAAAATACATACAAGCAGAAAAAAAAAAAAAAAAAAAACTTTCAAGAAAACTCATAAAAATAACTGTTGAATTGCCTTTGAAAGTAGGGGATAACATCTGTTGCAAAACAGATGAAAAATTGCTTCTTAAAATGTGTATGTTTTGTATTCTTTTTTTCTAGTAGGAAAAGAACAGACTTGAAATTTTGGTGTTTTTTCCTTAGTGCTGTGTGTTGCTTTTGTGTGTTATAATATTTGAATGTAATTACAGCAGTGCCAATTTGCCAAAGATGTTGAACATTATTTTGGGGTTTTTGTTTTGCATTTTATTTTGGGGAGCAAAATGGGAGGTGGGTTGGGGAGTGGGGGTGCTAAGGTGTGGTTCATAGGGGATGGGCCTTTTGAATTTTTTTTGATCCTTTTTTTTCCCAATTCTTTTTCTTGTCAAAACTGAAATTTGTGATTTTATTCTAAGTTAAATGGTTGACTGCAACACTTTTTATTTTTAGATTAGTTGACGAAACATGCAATAAGATTGGCGTAGTTCAATATCTGTGTGTCTTTTCATGAGAGTGACTGTTACTTGTGGACATTTGATTTATGTAACCTTTATGTGAGATAATTATTTGTAAATATCTACCATAATTTTATTGGTTCCTAAAATAAAAGTAATTTTTTTAAGTTCCAAAAGTCTCCTTTTACTCTTGTTTTCACCTTGCATTCTGGGTCTCTTGCAAATAATACAAAGTTGTTACATTTGGAATGTTTTTTTTTTTTTTTTTTTTTTTTGTGTGTCTTTGTTGAAAAGATACCCATCATGCAGGGCCAAGTGGCTGTCAGGGGACCAGCCAGGACTGCTGATGCCAAGTGAATAAAGGAATACCACATGCTGTATGACATTGTGGTCTTCATTAAAATGTTGGGGAAGGAGGTTTTCCAAAATATTTCTTGCTCAAGGTGTGACTGGATAACAGAATCAGAGAATGGTTTGAGTTGGAAGCAGCCTTAAAGTGCATTTAATTACACCCCCACATCCCCTGCTATGGCCGGGGACACTTCCCACTAAATCAGGTTTCTCAATGCCCCATCCAGCCTGGCCTTGAGCACTTCCAGGGATGGGGCATCCACAGCTCCTCTGGGCAGCCTGTGCTGGTGCCTCAACATCCTCTGAGTAAATAATTTCTCCCTAATGGCTAATCTAAATCTACACTCTTTAGGAATCATGGAATCATAGAATATCTTGCATTGGAAAGGACCCATGATGATCCTTGAGTCCAAACCCTAGCTCCACACAGGATCACCCAAAACTCAAAACATTCACCTGAGAGCACTGTCCAAATACTTCTTAAAGACTGGTAAACTCGGTGCCGTGACCACTTCCTTGGGAGAGTCTGTTCCAGTGCCTGACTACCCTTTCCTACCACCCAGCCTGATCCTCCCCTGTCCCAGCTCCATGCTGTTCCCTCGGGTCCTGTCCCTGCCCCTCCACTCCCCTCGTGAGGGAGCTGCAGGTCACCACGAGACCTCCCCTCAGCCTGCTCTGCTCGGGGCTGAACAAACCCAGGGACCTCAGCCACTCCTCATATTGTCTTTCCCTCCAGACCCCTCACCACCTTTGTAGCCCTTGTTTGAATACTCTGTAATAGTTTTATGTCTTTCTTGTATTGTAGCACCCAAAACTGCACAAAGTACTAGGGGTGAGACCGCACTAATGCAGAGCTGAGCAGGACAATCCATTCCCTTGGCCAGCTAGCAGTGCTGTGCCTGAGGCACTCAAGGATGCTGACAGCCCCTTTGGCTGCCAAGCACACGCTGTTGACTGGTGTTCAATTTGCCATCAACCAGAACCCCCAAATCCCTTTCCAAGGGACTACTCTGCAGCCCCTTGTCCCCCAACCAGTACCTATATCCAAGCTTGCTCTATGCTACATGCAGAATCCGGCACTTGCACTTGTTAAACTTCATGCAGTTGGTGATTGCCCAGCCCTCTAACGTGTCCAGATCTCTCTGCAAGGCCTCTCCATGTTCAAAGGAATCAACAGCTCCTCCTAATTTAGTATCTTTAGCAAACATACTCAGTTTGGTTTAGTGGGGACTGTTAGCGTTAGGTCAGAGGTTGGACTCGATGATCTTGAGGTCTCTTCCAACCTAGAAATTCTGTGATTCTGTGATCAATTACCTGGACTTGTGCGAAGCATTTGAGACTGCCTGCATGATAACTTTGCCTCTAACTTGGAGAGACATGGATTTGACAGGTGTACCACTTGTTGGATAAGGAATTGGCCAGATGGTCGTGCTCAAAGAGTTGTGGTCAATAGCCAGATGCACAGGTAGAGAACAGTGAGTCTTGGTGTTCTTTCTAAGCTCTACATCTAAACGTCTTTTAAAGACTTCCAGGGATGGTGACTCCACCACTTCCCTGGGCAGCCTGTTCCAATGTCTAACAACCCTTTCGGTAAAGAAGTTCTTCCTAAGATCCAACCTAAATGTCAAATACTTTGCTCTTTCCCTCTCCACCAATGCTCTACCCCCGTTTTCGTAGGCCATCAAATTTGGCAGGCACAGTTTACCCTTACTGAAACCATTCTGGCTGTCATCCATCATCTCCTTATTCTCCATGTGCCCTAGCACAGTTTCCAGGGGGATCTGCACCATGATCTTACTGGGCACAAATTTGACACTGACTGGCCTGTAGGTTCCAGGTTCTTCTTTTTTTCCACCTTTTTGAAGAAAAAAAAAAACACCACCACCACCAACAAAAAACTTTTAAAAAATAGGGGTTATGTTCCCCTCTTCCAGTCAGTGGAAGAAGTTGTATACCTCCAGGTTCCATAGATGGCCTTCAGCCTGATCTCCTCCTACAGTGGGTGGTTCTTAATCCTCCCAGTCCCTGCTTTTGCATTCTACTACTTGGGATATGTGGCTGGAGTTCTTATTGGTGAAGACCGAGACAAAAAAGTCGTCGAGTACTGCATCTGTTTCCATATCCTGGGTAACCAGGTCTCCCATTTATTTTCAGAGAATGCCCACATTTTCTCTCACCTTCCTTTTATTATTGATGTCTTTATAGAAGCCCTTCTTTTTGCTGTTGATGTCCCTGGCCAGGTTCAATTGTATCTTGCTGTTCTCCAGGGTCAGCTCATCATAACAATAGGTGCAATGCTGCTCTGTATCTATGTCACAGTAGCATACATTTCAGTATTAGTCATATTTAAGAAACAACACTCACAGAACTTACCACAATTCAGCAAATAACTGTAGATAAATCAAAGAAATTGACAGTCTAATTGCAGACATCAGAGAGGGGCAGAATTTAATCAACCCATAGCTCGGAACCAGTATTTACTCAGCCCTCAGCAGCCTCTGCTTTTGGGAGGCAACTGGATTCTCTGCTTCATCAGCCTAGAGCATCAAGTCCATCCAGAAACAGTCCAAACTGGTCTTGAACTCCAGAGCAAATCATGTCTGCCTTCTCACACCATTATTTTCACAGCTCAGAAGGGCTGTGACTGCCCTCTCTGCCCTCAAGGCCCTTTCCAGTGGTGATTAGCAATTCACCTGAGGGCAAAGGACTGCTTTCACGCACTAGCATTTCAAAGTGGAGCTGGTTTTCTTGCACTTGAGAATACAGTGTCGTGCATCTGACTTAAGAAGTGCTCAAAAATCTGTTTTCTGGATTTTTCAGGTTCATGCAGCAGTGCTTATTCAGCCATATCACACATCCCGTTTGACTCTGTGAGTCCACCTTCACACCTCATGCCCCTCTCTTCCTGTCAGTCACCAGCTGTTCTACACGCATGGCTTACCTTGTAGCTCTGTGGAGAGCACGGCATTTGGGAACAACCCTTTACAGCAAGAGTCCTGTGCAAGCAATTGTCTCAGCTCCCAGTGTCAATGCCTGCATCACTGCTACAGGATGGCATTTACCATCATCCACCCCCCATCAAGACACAGGTGCCCCCAGCAAAGGTGACCCAGAGTTTCAGAAGGGGGCAGAAAATGCCTGTTTTCCTGTCTGAGACCTGGGATACTCTTGTGAGCAACATCTGCTGCTGGTGGCCTCCCAGGAAGAAAACCACCTGCTGCATCAAACCTCACCACTTACCTTCCAGCCATCAGACCCCTTCCAGACCCCAGGACTGATCTTGTGCTGAAAGATCTCTCTCAGTGGATTCCCTGCAGTAGGGTATGTTTAATACCGGTAGTGCCGCTACTGGCATTACAGAAAGAGAGCAGAGAGGTGGATGAATGCAACCACCTTCCCCTCCGAGAGAGAGGTGAGAGCCGATGCCCAGGCAGCCTTCAGGGAGGGTCACAGTGCAGCAGCAAAGAGAGTTTGCAGAATAGTCAGATAATGACAGCAAGAAGTGCCTTGTTATTGTCCATTCCCTACAGAGAGATGCTGGTTGCAGGGATTGCTGTTACTCACTTTGTTTTTTAGGCTTTTTATATTTTTGCTCTCTCTCAGTCTTGCTAGGTTAAAAGAGGAACAAACTGTCCTGCAGTACACATGCGGTGCCCATTCCTCATGAAGCCCTCCCACATATGGATGTGAAATACCACTTCAGCCTGCTGGCAGGAGAACAGTGGGATTAGATTTGACAAAATTACAGTGAGAGGCACAGGATCATCCTGTCTCTCCAGGTGTGAGGCCCCATACCGCTTTGTTCAATGAGAATGCCCTTCAAGGATGCAAATGCAGTTTTAGCTCAAGCCTCTGTACAAATGGCTATTGTTTAAGATGCCCTGGAATTGTCACCTAAACTTTTCATGAATAGGAAATGAAGACCCTTGTTTAAGCAATGGAACGTCTCTGTATTGTAATAGATTTTGCAGACAAGGGCAATATGCAGTCCAGCCGGCAAATCAGGAGTGGAGTTGGCGGGTACACAAGGGCTGGTCCAAAGAGATCAAAGTGACAGACCTTTGCCAGGATCCCTGCAGTGGACCATGATGGTTATGAGCTGGAACATCTGGAAATAATGTCAGATGTAGCTGGTGAGAACTTGTAGGTTCTGTCTGAGGGTGTCGTGACCTATTTTCATTCTCAGTCACTCAGCAAAAAGACAAGGACTTGAAATGGCCTGTGGAGAAAAGTAAATTATTTATCTGTACATGTATATGCACTATCTTTGAGCTGTTAGGAAGCTTCCTTCTGGGCAGTGTGTTCCCACCAAAGAGGTGGGGTTACCAACCATACCTGCATGGTGGATTGGAAAGGATGCTTCAGCCACCATCCAGTTAGACTGACCTCTCTCTGCCTGATGATGATTCCCACTCATCACCCCTCCAAAGGCTGTGCTGGACTGTGAGCACACCAGAAATGGGATCCCATGCCTTCATTTCCGACTGAGTGCAAGGCATTGAAAGTGTAGCCAGCACTGCAGAGGCTTGTGTGTACTTGTCAGCATACACAAGAGAAACTGGCTTAGCTGCAGCAAAACAGGTAAAATTCAGCAGGATGCATTAATGTCAAACTCAGTTAAGAGCTGGAAGCATGAACTAGTAATAGAAGTTACTTTGGAGAAGCATTGAATGAATGTGTAGGATTGGTTTCATCAGAGATCTTCTAAAAGGTACACATTTATGCATCACGCTGCATAAACTGGGGTGCAACCAAACTGCCAGAGCAGCTCTGAAAGGGCAAGTTCCTAGCAAAAGGACTTAGAGGAAAGCTTCCTTTCAGGGTT